ACCATCATCCTTGGGATCATTAACATATTTGGAGGATTCAACATCTTGAGCCTTAACAGGAGATGGAAGCTTGCTTATGTGGCAGCCATTACAGCTTTGGTTGTTATTGTCTTGTTGCTAGAAGTCATCACTTGGATCGTTTTCTTTATCAGAAAACGCAGAAACAAAAATTAACTAAATGTAATCTCATATATGCATCATGATCACCTCACAACATCCTCTTAAGAAGAAACACTTACGCTTGAAATTCATGATATGGGAAAATTAATTAGTACATCGATATTCTCTGGAATTTTTGGCTTCTCATCACCAGGGATTTCTTTTGAGTGTATTGATGAAATATGCTTGAAACTTTCAATTTGCTAACTAGGTACTTAATCAGCAAATTAAATAGTAGATAGATAGCTCTTGTATGTGTATATTTGAAGTACTTAATGGGAAGAGTAAGTGTTGTGTGTTTTTTATTATTGTACTTAATCCTTTATTTCTATGATCTGATTTTGAACGGGCATGGGCATGCTTCATGTATGTGACTTCCAGTCATTAACATGGAAAATAGTTGGAAATTTAATTTGGTTTTAAAAGATGACCCCAATCTATTTTATCTGTAATATTTATCTATTTTGCCTCTAAATAATTCTTATGATGATTGTATATGTTAACGAGTCTCTATCAAAATATAGTTTCCATGCATATGATTAATAAGAATATTTTAAGAAAGACGACAGTCCATTTATTATAAGTAACTAACTTAAATAATTTTCTTAATATATGCAAATTAGTTATATAGTTCTATCAAGGGTAGCGCTTGACTTTTTTTTTATGTTAAATAAGTAGGATTTTAAATTAAATCAACAAGATTGACATTGGTGATTTATTAATTTAACTTAATTCCGTGGTGTTATACATTTTTTTTTTTGACCGGAGCGTGGTGTTATACATGGGGTCATATAAATTAGGGAATTGATGCAGCACGTTCAAAACGTTCATAGTGATATTCACTAATAATACCGTGTGACGGACAGGAGCAGGCAATAATTCAAGACGCTCTGATGAGATATAAAAGCCTCTTTTAACTAGGGGCCAAGTGATGCATCTAGGGAGAAAATTAAAACCTACACTTGGTAGTCATTCGCCCTTTCCCCTTAATATATACTACCTCTGGTCCTAATTATAAGATCCAATTGACTAATTTGAGGAGATTAAGGAAGTAAGTTGAGTTAGTTATTTGTCCTAAATATGTGTTATTTTTCTTAAAATATCCTTGTTAATCAAGTGCATTAACTAGAACTATCATTGTTAGAAGGGTTACTTTAAAAAAATATATATAAATATGAGAGACAAAGTAAATTGGGGTCTTATATTTAGGACAAAAATAAAAGTCAAACAGGGTCTTATATTAAGGACGGGAGGTAGTATAATATTCCCTCATGTTTTTAATAAAAGAGTTTGTTACTTAATTGAGCAAGAAAATTTATTAAGTTATTATTTGTACTATTTAGATTTTTTTAAAATACTCTTGCTAATCATATGTACTAACTAGAATTACTATTTGATAAAACATTTAACATGTGTAATCACAACAAAGACTATTTTTAAAAAATGATAAATATGAAAGATAAAATAGATTAAGATTTTATATTTATGACCAAATTAAATATCAAATTAGCTCTTATAAAAGTAACATATACTCCCTCCGTTCCTTATTATAAGAGATGAATAACCGAATTACTTTGATAAAAAAAGCAGTTAAAATTAGTTAAGAACAATCAATGTGTAAAAAATATAATTTTTTTTCAAAAATACCCTCATTAATAAGGAGAGAGAGAGAGCATGAGAGAGAACAATTAAATTATTGAAAGAAAGAGAAGTGGGAGGGGGAGAGAGTGTGAATTGGAGACAATAAATATGGGTAAAATAGAAAATCAACACACAAAAATTGAGACAACTTTTAAGTGTCTCTTATATATAGGAACATGCCATAAGCCTCAAATGTCTCTTATAATAAGGAACGGAGGGAGTAATATTTAGTATTATTGGATCAAATTCCAACATTATTAGCTTGAATGAAAGTCGCTTTCCAATGTAAAATTTTTTTAATTCAATTTTTTTGACTCCACATAATTACTGTCGAATTGTTCTTTTGTTCTAAATATAGTAGTAAATATAGTAGCCAAGTTTTGGTCCTAATCAAATGTAATATCTTAATTCATTATTTTTTTCTTACATTTATTATTTCTTTAAAATTAATTTATGCAACGTATAAACTGATATACCCAATGTCACACGGAATTATTTTAGAAATATTAGAGCACATATGTTATAACTAAATAATTTATTTAACAACCTTAATCTACCAAAATAGATAAATAGCCTTACTACATTATTGATCGAAGAAATACTCATTTGCTAAGTTAGTAACATTCCTTAAAGCATGTTTTTTCCCCTAAAAAATCCTTAAAGAGATTGTCGGAATAAGTTCTGGGATTTAATTTGTTAATTTTCCAGAAGGAATACAGGGATGAAGGCGAAGGCTTCTCCCTCATACCAATCACCATTTTCATTTTGTTGGATTCCGTGGCATGTTTCCATTCCATGCGTTTTAATGGATAACAATATTGTAACAGTCTTATAGCATTTTACGTTTCTTATACTCTCTTTACCGAAAGTAATTTTAATTTGAATGAAAATATCATAGTTTATTTTTTTTTGGATGACATGACATGAACTTGATGTAATTATCTTTTTATGTGGCAAATACTTTCTCTACATAATTTTGAGACATATAATAAGAGAGGGGATCACAAAAAAATGACAAAAATAAAAATATAAAAATTAATTTTATTTTTGACATATTTATTGCTCTACCTTTTTTTTAATCAATTTCTCATTACATAATTTTATATAATAATTTTTAAATTTATTATATTAATGATTGGAAAATATAGTTTCATTAATTTGTAAGCCGTTTCTGTTTAATTTATTTCCTGGCATAAATAAAATCTTTTAAAGCAAAATTGGGAAAAAATTCCAATTAAAAATTTTATTGATAGGGGAAGAATCTGATAAATTTTTATACATAAAAGGTGTTTGGTAATCTACAAATTTCGTATATACAAAATATTAATATTTTGATTTAAGTCCCTGTCATCAATAAAATTTTTAAATAGGAGATTAATTTTTTTCAAAAATAATTTTCCTCTTTTTTAAATGTTATATGGGTGTGACATCACAATGATGTAATCGTGATCACAAAACGGTGCTTAATTTTTTTCCCAAAAAAAGGGAAGGCTAAGGCGTTATTATTGTTAATGAGTAGGCATTCACGTGTCACGTTGGATTAAACGAATCTGCATTATATCATAATATCATATGTCCTCTCTTCAAACCAATGTGTCCCTTTCTTTCGGCATCTGGGAAACCTCCAAAGGATTTGTGAAATGATGTGGCCCTTGCAAATTGGACCGCAGCCCCCAAAGTAATACTGCTTTATTTACATATGTTGACCCGTTTTACACTTTTACCCATCTCTTAAAAGAGTCATGTCATAAATGTATAAAACAAAATACTATTTCTATTCGGTAATATATATATTACTCATTTAACTAATTTTAAAAAATTTAAAAAATTATTAAATTACTTAATTATAGCATATGTTATATGATTTTTAAAATATTTATATGTATTATTAAATTATATATTAATTTATAAGTGAGGTAAATTAGTCCACTGACTTTAAGACCGGAGGTAACACTATTTATTTGATTTTTTTAAATGATTTTATTATTAGAGTAAGAAAGTTCTTTCTGATTGAACGACCCGTTAAAGACTTTAAAGTTCAATCTGATCAAATCTTCTTTGTTAAACACAACGAACAGGATAAAAGAGAAAATCAAAGACATGTGAACTGTTGGACTAAGGAAGAAAGCAAGGAAACATATGCTACTGAAAGGATTTCAAATGCGTAACGTTTTAATAATGACAGAAGAAATAGACAGAACTGAAATACATATGTGATAAAAGGAACGGTATAATATAATAATGATTTGAAATCAAAAGAAGCTTGGCTTTGCTTCTCCTCGCCCCCCAAAGACACATTTATCTTTTTATTAGAAGCAATATGGCATCAAATGTGGCATCTTTCTTAAGAATGATTTAAATATAATTTTGATTTACTATATTATGAGAAATTAATCTTTTTTATTAGATCCAAACTCCCCTGGACCCTGCTTCTAGTTGCTGACAAATGAGCGAACGCTAGAGACTTCTGAGAAAAAAATGAAGATATTGGACCTGTGAGCCAACATGGATACTGTTGATGATGAAACCAGAGAAGGAACAAGATATGATTTCTGGGCCTACTATTCTTGTCAAATTTTTGTAAATGAGCCATGAATATTTCCCAAGGATTTCGCCCATAAAGCTTCAGAATATAACAAAACCCAGAATCAAAGATCTTTTATGGGCCAACCTACAATTGGAAAAGATGGGCTTTCATGGAGTGCGGACAAATAATAAAATGAGAGAATCATCGTATGAATTCTGAAAAAGAAATGTAATTATCAGAAAAATCTCAATAAAAAATGGGCATGGGCTTTCTCTAAGTTTAGTTCCATCCCTGTGATGCAAAAATCTCTCTCTCTCTCTCTCTCTCTCTCACATCAACACGACGTTGGTTTCTCTGAACCTTACTGCATGGGCCACCACAAGGGAGAAATTATTGCACGGTTTCCACGAAACTTTTTTAAAGTTGATGGATGCTAGACGTGTAGGCAATTTCCAGGAAACTTCCTCTTCCTCAGTGGGAGGCATGAATCAGTGCAGTGGGGGACACCAAAGCAATTGCCACGGTCAATTCTCTATCAATGAAGTTAAATATCATATGGTAGAGTTGGTTGAGTGCTTTCAAGTCTTCTCTTCTCCTGCACTTTCTCCTCAACTTGTTTCTAATCATCGAACACCAGAGAGAGTCTCCCTTTGATTTGTGTATTGGAGGAAGGATGGCGGAACAAGTACCATATGGAGTGACCACAAGTCTCATCAACACGTTGGCTTCTGTAGCCTTCAGAGAGATTGCTTCCATCTATGGGGTCAAAAGGGACACTGAATGGCTCAAGAAAACTGTTGAAGGCATCAAAGCTGTGTTGGCTGATGCTGACCGAAAGCAGCACACTGACCAACTCATCCAGCTCTGGATCAGAGACCTCAAGCAAGTGCTTTACGATGCAGATGACGTGCTCGATGAGATCCATACTCAGCATTTGCTGCGCCACAGGGATGCAAAGGGAAAGGGAAGGGGAAAGGTACGTGAATTCTTCTCATCCTCCAACCCAATTGCCCTTCGCCTCCAAATTGCTCACAAGATTAGAAACATTAGAGTGCAATTTAATGATGTTGCTGAAAGTATGTCGAAATTGAATTTAGTTGGAAGAGTTCTTGAAATGAAGCGTGAAAAGAGTAACTGGAGGGAAACTAGTTCTTTTGTGCTCCAAGAGGATATGGTTGGTAGGGAGGGAAACAAGAGGGACATAATTGATTTGTTGTTGAATGATGATAATAGCCATCAAAATGTTTCTTTGGTTGCTATTGTCGGCATTGGGGGTTTGGGGAAAACCACTCTTGCCCAGCTGGTGTACAATGATGCTGACGTGGAGCGTTCTTTCCACAAGCGAATTTGGGTGTGTGTTTCCGAAGACTCTGATGTAAAGGCGATTGTGAAACAGACACTCGAATTACTACTTGGCGAAAAACAGGACGATCAACCATTAGAACTACTTCAAAATAAGCTTCAACAAAATTTAGCAGGCCAAAAATTTTTGCTAGTTTTAGATGATATTTGGGATGATTTTCCTAGAAAGTGGGAAGAGTTGAAGAAGTTTTTGATGCGCGGTGCTGAGGGTAGTAAGATTTTGTTGACTACACGTGATCAAGTAGTAGTCAATAGAATGGGTGTAAAAACGCCGTATCTTTTGGAAGGATTGAACAGTGACCAATCTTGGACTCTGTTGAAAAGATTGGCATTTGACGATGATAAAAAAATAACCCCAAATCTGGAGTCTGTTGGCCAAAAAATTGCAGAAAAATGTATGGGGGTTCCGCTGGCAATAAGAGTTATGGGAGGTTTGTTGCGATCAAAATTGCTAGAAAGTGACTGGGAAGATCTCTTGAAAGGTGACTTTTGGAAGCTAAGTGATAATAATGATTTAATCATGCCAATTTTAAAGTTGAGTTATGACGGTTTGGCAATTGAATTAAAACAGTGTTTTGCTTATTGTTCTTTGTATCCAAAAGATTGGAAATATGAAAAGGATGAATTGATTGATATGTGGATGGCACAAGGCTTCCTTAAAAATAAAGACGAGGAACAATGTTTAGAAGATGTGGGTGAAGAGTACGTTCGTATTTTGTTGATGAAGTCATTCTTGCAAGATGTTGAGATGGATGAATTAGGAGAAATAGAATATTTTAAAATGCATGATTTGATGCATGACTTGTCCCAATCATTTGCTACTAGCTTTGACATATACATTGAGGGAGGAAAAGACGTTCCAAGGTGTCCTAGACATGCTCTTTTTAAAACCTATGACACCAATAGTTCACTAAATGTGCCGGATCTAGGTAGATTGAGAAACTTTCGTGAAATGAAGAAAAATTATAGAAGGGATCCATCTGATTTATTTGTGTTAAAATGCTTACGAAGTCTAGATTTGTCATACCAATCGATAAAATATTTTCCCAAATCAATAGGTAAAATAAGCCATTTGAGGCATCTTAATCTCGATTATTGTCATCAATTGACTTGTTTGCCCAAGAGTATAAGTAACTTGGTCAATTTGCAAACATTGAGATTGACTGGCTGTGAGAATTTGAAATTTCCTGGAGATATTATCACAAAGTTTGTAAAGTTGCGCCGGCTTGATATACTAGGTTGCAAGGCCTTTGTTGATGGAATGCCTATGGGGTTGGACAAAATGACTTGTATGCAGAGGTTGTCACATTTCATAGTGGGTAATGATGATAAGGAGAGAAAGAAAGCCAAATTGAACGAATTGAAAGATCTTAACCTCAGAGGTAGATTAGCCATTAAAAAACTAGATTCAGTAAGGGATGTAGAGGAGGAGTCTAAGAATGTTAATTTGAGAACAAAGAAAAACCTCATTTCCTTGTCCCTGCATTGGGGAGATGACCCAAAGATGGAAAAAAGTGATGCCATGCAATTACTGGAAAATCTTCACCCTCATCAAAATTTGAAGACACTAGGAATACAAAGATACCCTGGGGTATGCCTATCTGATTGGCTTTTGTCATGTGTAAATCTTGTTCAATTGGAGTTTTTTGGATTCAACAATTGTCAATACTTGCCAGCGTTAGAAGGCTTTGTTTCTCTCAAGACTCTTTACATAGGGCGTATGGATAAATTGGAGTGCATATACTATAAAGGATGTTCCTCATCAGCCAACTTCTTCCCATCTTTGGAGGAATTAGCAATTTACTTGTGTGGAAGTTTAAGGGGATGGCAAAGGGAGGCAAATGGCCAAAATACAAGAGATAATGAGTGGCATGATTCACTGCCTCCATTTTCACGTCTTTCAGCATTGACAATTCGTGATTGCCCAGACTTAAGATTCATGCTTACTTTTCCAAATCTCGTGAGGCATTTGAATTTAGTCAACTCCAGCATGAAGCCATTGGTAGACACATTAAGTGTGAGCGCAATTGGGCCGTCAACATCACATGATATGACTCCATCTCTTTCCATGCTCAAGTCTCTTCACATTGCAGGGATAGAAATGGAAGCATCACCAGAGGAATGGATGCAAAATCTCTCCTCTCTTAAACATCTCTCCATTCAGGGATTTTCAGAGAAACCATTTCTTCATATGCGGAATCTATCTGCTACACTCGAGATATTGACTATTTTCGAACTTGGTGATGAGGATTATAGCATACAGTGCCAAGACCTTTGTTGCCTACGTTCTCTCCAAACAATCGAATTTGTTTGTTGTGATCACCTCACAGCTTTACCCGAGTGGATTTGTGATCTCCAGTCACTGCGAATTGTGCGCATTGTGAGTTGTAAAAACTTGGAGTTATTTCCAGCAGAAATGTCTCGCCTCACTACTTTACAAACACTAGAACTCTCTGGAGCTCCACTTCTAGAGGACAAATGCAAGAGAGAAACAGGAGCAGAGTGGCCAAAAATTGCTCGCATCCCAAATATACGGATCAATTGGTGTCGAATCTAAATCTCCATTGCATACATCTAAAGGCATGCTCGTGATGTCTATAGCTACTTTATTAAAACAAAAAATATAGCCCCATTTGTCTTCACCTTCATAAAAGAATTCATTACTAGAATACATCCCATTTGATAAACTCCACTCCCCTTACTAATTAACCTTTCCTTTCAGTTAACCTATTTTTCCCAGAGAAGAAGGCCTCGCAGGGCATGCTCTGCTCACTGAAGCTTTAAGATGAGGTACTCTACTGCTACTTAAATTGATTATTACTGTAGTATTCGCCAACTAAATAACTTGCGCGCCCTTTAAATTTCAAACTAGTTTTGTCCAGCTACATGGATTATAAAACTTTGAAAACATTCAAAGATGACTGGTTTTATTTGCTCTGTTTTTACGAAAATTAGATAACAATTAAAGGGTGCTCCAGCCTACTCCAAATTTGACACTTCCTCTGCTACTTTAGTTAGTTTCAATCCTTTTCGTACTCAGTGATCATGATTTCATGATTTTAATTTCAATTCAAAAGTTTTAGGAATAGTAATTTGCAATTGAAGGAATTATGAAGGCAAGTCTTCTTCAAATCTGTTTAATGTTGTTGGAGAGAATTAAAAACTCAAAACAAGTGAGAAAGGATTCTAGTTTTACAACAAATATGTTAAGCTTATGCCGCAATAAAAGTCTGTTGTGTCTCTTATTATTATTATCAATTTAACAATAATTGATTACCATCTCATACCATCGAAAATTCCAGGTCAAAATGGCTATGTTCAGGTTGATCCTGTGAGTTATGTTTACTGCATTTCAAGTAAGCTGCTTTCGTATTGTGTTGAAATATGAAAAAGATAATATGCATATACTTACGATGAAATCCTATTTCGAAGAATAGTATCCAGCAAAACAAAATTGGTTTACAAATTATATCACCATGTCTTCTTATTCTTAATTGATTTTCGGTAATTACTCAATTTGAGAATTGGATGGATGTGATAAGGAAACTCCATTCCTGTTCTGAATTTGAATTCAACTGCAATGAATTATATCGCTGGCCGTTCAAGCTTCAATACTTGTATATTTTAGTTTGTCTGTTCAATGCTTATTTTAGTCGCTGGCCTCAAATGCGAGAAAGCTTCACTGGGCTCAACAAATTATGCAGCGGACTTCAAATCTAATAGATCCCTTTCTCAATATATTCATAGCAGAGAAAACAATCTGCTTTCAGGAGATTGAAGCCAACGGATGAGAATAAGGTCCAGGTCTCACGCTCTTGATCTTTTTTGTAGTTAATATTTGTATGGTGCATGAAGATGCTTCCTTAGTTACTGAACTATAATATACACGCTTGGCATGAAAAGGGTATTATATGCATGAGGGTAATTCTTTAGAGCTATGAATTAGGTAAATAGAATCACTAGATGCTTAAGTTCCTATTTGCCTATAATTAGTGGGGAATATTTAGATAAAATGCCAAATTCATAACTAACAATTTTGAACTTTTTGATGTTTGTGATTTATTTTGCAGGAAGAACAGCTGGTTTTTTTTCCTCCCCAAATCTCAAGTTTCATATATTTGGTAAAGGAGAATTGAGAAGATTAGTATCACTCAAGCTGTGGAGTCCCCATAATAAATAAAATTGAGTTTGTAATTCATCTCGAATTAAGAAAAACAGCCACATTTAATTGTAATTTATGGAGTGTTGACAGGCTATATTTGATCCTTTTTTCTTTTAATGTGTACTATTTCTAAGAACATTTAATGATTTTTGATACAGTGGAATTTTTCGGAATTGATCCCATGGTTTTTTCCCTGGTATTAGAGGGTTTTTCATATTAAATTTGTTGTCATTTTTGTTCGGATTGCGTTTCTCGAGATGTGGATGGAAATGGGCTGAGGGTAATTGGCGAATTTGCTGCCCTTTTGGGATGCGACCGTTGGCATGCGATCCATGTGTTTGAGATTCATGATTTTTATCGGTGCATTTTTTTTCCAGAAATAAAAAAATAATAATATTATCTGCATGAAATAAATATGAAATTGTCATGTGACTTAAAAATAAGAGTTAATACATTTTTTATTCTGATTTATCTTCATTTTAGTTCTGGTTTTTAAAATTTTTTCATTTAAAATATTACTTCCAATAATTCAATAAAAACTTGGATTATTTTGCTTTTTGATAGATCAAAATTTATTATTTAAAATTTAGAGGACCAAACACAAAATGAGGAACCAAAAATTATATTAACTCTAAAAAATAATCATAAATATTTCATTTTGATTAGTTAAAATGGAACAATTTTTTTTGGGTTTGATGTCAGGCTAGACTTTCAGAACATTACTTTATAAGAAAAGATAAAAGGAAGCATCATGATCGTCTTCTAACTTTAGGAAAAACAAATGCCATCTTATAAAAGAGAATAAGAAATTCGTTCTTCGGGCGGCTTATAGAAAGCAATGATTACTTCTTTCCTTTTTAATGGGTTAAATTTTGCTATTGCATGTACTCTGGGCCATTCACTATATTAATGATTCTTTGCAAATAAAATTTATGTCGCAATGAACTTAATATTCTTAAATCTGATTTTGAATCTTTGGGATGCATGTGATCCCACTTTTCCAAACAATATTCTTAAAATTTCTTCTGCTCCTTTTTCTTCCACACCAGATTCACCTCCAGTCCTCCTCTCTGGCCGTTTCCTCCTTCTTTCGAAACTTCTTCCATTGTAAATCCTCGCCTCTCTGAGTTACTGCGGTGTACAGAAACCCAAAGCACTCTTTCTTCCTCCGTCGCAGTGGGCGGTGGAGCTCACTAGTCACAATCGGCAAGATAACTGCCGTAACAAACTCTCATTGGGAGAGAGAAAAGCTCTCACCAGGAGAGAGACTTAAACACAACACCTTTGAAATCGATTTTTTATATTAATGATTCTTTGCAAATAAAATTTATGTCGCAATGAATTTAATAGTCTTAAATCTGATTTTGAATCTTTTTGTTCCCCATGCATGTGATCCTGCTTTTCCAAAAGGGAAGCCTTTAAATACAATAAAATACGTAAGATCAATTATCTTATATTTTCCTCTCCAGTGAGAAGCAGCAATATATCCCTTTAAATAAAAAGGTATTTTTTAGTGCTTTTGATATTCATTATTAAATTAGGAAAACATTATGAAAATACCCCAAAAAAAATTATCGACACGTTTCTGTGAAATTACACATAATTTTTAGAAGAGGTTTGCGCATATTTTTAAAATTGAGAAAATATATGTAATTTTCTTTAAAAATATAATTTTGACAAGATTCCAGAAAGATTTAGCGAAAAAATTATGTGATTTATAAAATCAGATGTACAGTGTTTGGCATCTTATCTTTAATATGATAATATCATTAAAATGCAATAACTTTGATAAGAGTTGAATATAGAGTTGAATACTAACTTAAAAATATTAAATGTCTGTTGATTTTTCTAAATTATCATATTTAATTATATGTATTAGAATTTAGAATTATTTTTTGATACGAAGCTTTCATAATCAATAATCAATAAAAATATTTTGAAAAAAATTACAAATTTAAAAAACAGAATGAATTAAAATATTATATTTATAACTAAATAACGGAATTTAATCTCCCAACCAACTCTTAGTACTCAATCGGTAGCAGTTAGCAAATATTTTTATGAACACTTTTTTCAAACTAGAAAGCAAGAACAAGAAGGCGACCCTGTTGTCAAAACCCAAAACAGGGGATGAGGACACTCCAGAATTCTTATTATGCCATTTAACAGTGAGATCCAATCGGAATTGTCCTTTGGCTGCCATGTTTTATGGCAAATTAAATGGATGACTTTAAAAGAATGTTTTATTAGGCGGTAATGAAAAGTTTAATCTACTACCTCTGGTCCTAATTATAAAAGCTAGTTGACTAATTTGAAAAGATTAAGGAAATAAGTTAACTTAGTTATTTGTAATAAATATGTGTTATCTTTCTTAAAATATTCTTACTAATCAAGCGTATTAGCTAGAACTATTATTATTAGAAAGACTACCTTGAGAAAAAATATATAAATATGAGAGACAAAGTGGATTGAGATCTTATATTTAAAACCAAAATAAAAGTCAAATAAGGTCTTATATTAAGGACCGGAGGTAGTATTAGATTTGCTTCAATTATCAATTTAATCCTAACATCTAATATTTATCAATTTGATTCATGAAACTGCATAATTATATACAATTAATTCTTACGGTTTGAATGGAAAATAACCCTATTAATTAGGAGTAACATGCTACTTAATAAAATTTAAGAAACTTGATTAATAAATATTAAAATTCGAAGATTATATTGATACTCAAAGCAAACTTTGAAGGATTAAAAGTTTTATTCTTGTTTTTATTAACTCATTTTTAATTCACGTTGGGTGGTACCAGTTGCCTTTTTCAATAATGACTTTAATTAAAGTGAACTTCTAACAAGTGCTAACTGCGAACTAAAGGGTTCATATTAGACGTACTCTTAAACAATGCAGAAGCACTGAAAAGAATAATAGGTAAGAGCTACCTCATCCTTAAGTCATTTAAATTTCAGTCCTAAAAAAATTGGGTTATTTAAATGTACAATTTTCAATAATTTATTTTACTTGAATACTTTTATTTCTGAAAATACAAAATATAGAATAAAATAATTTTTATCTTGAAACATAAAAATTATAATCGTATCAAATAAAAAAAGATTAAAAGTCAAACTTAGATAAAATTTACTTTGAAGTTTTAACATTTTAATTTTTATTATATTAATATTGATGCTAGCATCAAAGAATATGCTAATTTGAGAACTCAGCTTTTCCGAAACCGAAAAGATATCCCACTATTTACCCTTGTTCTCAGCCAAAAGGCTGAAATTAAAAGATAGTGAAGTGTTAAATATTTGTCCAGAGGAGCATTATGCTCCATTATCTAATCTATATATAAAATAAAAGTTTTTAAGCAAATGAGCTATTTATAATTTATAAAA